AAATTCCTTTGCTGCAGAAAAATGAATAGGAAGAAGCAGCTGTCCAGGAGACATCATGCTGTTCTGTTTAATCCCAGAGCACCAAGGGGGCTCTTGCTGGATCAGACTGACGCCCTCTGAAGTGCTGTGCCAAAAGCACAGAAAACATTGTTTGGGGATGAAGGCAGCAGTGGCACTCTCTTGGGAAAACACAGGAACAATGAATCAATCCTATGCTTGTACAAGTGGTGGCAAATAGCAGCACAGCAGGCAGCAGCCCCTCTCTGAAGCCTCCCAAAGCATCTCCTGGCCTTGCAAGAGGTCACAGCACACAAGCAATCTCTGCCAGTTCCCACATGCCATAACTGCGAGTTTAACTCCACTGCAATGCCATCACACCTTTATTTCTTCAGGTAAAAAACACACCCCATTTCCTCTCTGTGTCCCGCATCACAGCTGTCCCTTTGGTGTCTGGTTCCCTTCCCCAAAGATGAACAGGAAGCTCCCAGAGGATGGCATCTGAGCAGCTCAGGAGGCAGCCAGCACCAAGCCCCGGGAGCTCCTCTGTCTGATGAAATCATCTCATAGTGTGAAGATCCTCTCAGCTGAAATTGAAAAGTTATTTATTTCTCCTCTAAAGGGGAAAAACATCTCACTGTGGAGGCTGTTTGTCCTTTGGGGCAGGAATCTCACTTTTGCCAGCTTCTCTGTCTTTACACACTGACTTGGAGCAGTGAGATGCTCTGGCAGACAGGCAGGACGGAGCAGTGCTGATGCTCTCCCGCCCACAGCCTCCCTCTGCCAGGTCAGGTACACTGAGGGGCAGAGGTCAGGCATTGGCTTGAGCTGTTCCTCTCCATGGGATATTTTCCTGGGGTTCACAACAACACTGCTAAGAGCACCTCTTTCTCCACTGCAGCCAGTCAGCAATGCAGAGGCTGCTTCTCCATCCTTAACCCTTGGGTCACTGAACTGCCCCAATAGGAGCCACAGCTGAGATGTCCTGCACCCTCCCTGGAGGCTCATGAGATAGCAGTCTTCATTACCCAAAAGGACTGTGCAGCTTGTACCTGTCCCCCAGGTGCTCCAAAGGGACATCATAGCATCCAAGGTCCTTCCGCCTCTCAGGAGTCACCATGTCCTCTGCAAGGGTGCTAGTAGACTCTGTTGGGCTCTGCAGAGCCCCTCACTGGGGGGCTTTTCCATGGGAATGCTCATCCTGTTTGCTCCAGCTGGGACATGAGACCAACTTAAAATCACACAGGGAGTGGTTTTACCACTGTTCTCATTCTATACTGCCCTCTCACTTATTGGACTATTTCCAAGCACACCCTAATCCTGCTCCCACTGCCATCTGCAAGAGGCACACCCCTGCCTTGGGGCAGTACTCAATGCCTTGCAGTATCCCATCCTAACTGAGCATTGGAAAGATTTCTGTGGATGTTAAACTGGCTGCTCTGCTAGAAGAAAGGGACCTCAGAGCAGCTGAGAGCTGAAGAAGCTGCCCAGGGCCAGTTTTTGTTCCAGCAGAATCGTTTTCCCACTCCTCAGACTCATTCAGAAACCTGACTCAGCAGAGATGTGACTTAGACCAGTCTGATAATGCACAGAATGGTTTTGCAAGCTCTGGGAAACCGGGGATCTGTGAAATACTGCAGGAAACCCTTGTGGGTAGTGCACACAGACTTCGTATCCCACTCGGATGTTACCCACTTGCTCAGATCCTTGCTAAGCAGGACTGCTTGCTTCAGCATGGGTAGGTTAGGGGTCCTGCTTCAGGACTGGGCCTCCTGTATACCAGAATAATGAAAAATAGCATTTAATAGCAACAATGCATCTGTTCAGAAATGTGGATGCTGTCGTGTCACTGTCAGGCTTCAAACCTCGAAGGAACACATTCCACGGCCAGCAGCACTGGCGTGCCAATAGGGCTGAGTTTCCACTAGAGGGTTGTAGTGCTGTATGGAAGCAGATGCAGTTACTGTGGCAGAAATACTGGTATGTACTCCAGGCCTTTGTCAGCAGATCAAAAGCATCCTGTGATATCCTGGCTTCCAGCAGTCTCCGCAGTCTCTGATGTACACAGCCTGCAAGCTGCAAGAGGGCTGGTGCCTGAGCAACCTGCTTCCCTGCCTTCCCTGAATAGCCTCCAGCATTCACATGACTCAGCACCCACAGTACATATATATACACATAGATAGATAGATACAGATACAGTAAGTAAACACACTGTGCCTATGCATATACACACACAGACAGAATGTTTATTTGTGTACCTTGGATTCCGATGCATGAACAGCTACAAGCAGGGCAGTGACACAGCATGGCAAGGAGCCAGGCACCACTGGTGGCAGCCCGGCAACACAGCAAATGGGCCAATTAGCAACATCAACACAATGATAGAATCATAGAATCATTTAGGTTTGAAAAACCTTTTAGGTCATTCAGTCCAGCCATTAACCCAGCACTGCCAAGGCCACCACTAAACCATGCTCCTCAGTGCCACATCTACAACGTGTTTTAAATACCTTCAGGGATGGTGACTTCACCACATCTCTGGGCAGCCTGTTCCAGTGTTTGACAACCCCTTCAGTGAAGAAATTTTACCTAATATTCAATCTAAACCTCCTCTGGTGCAACTTGTGGCCATTTCCTCTTGTCCTAGTGCATGTTACTTAGTAGAAGAGGCCAATCCTTACCTTCTTACAATCTCCTTTCAGGTAGTTTTAGAGAGTGATAATGTCTCCAGTGCCTCATCAGTGCTGAGTAGAGGGGGATGACCAGTTCGCTGATCCTGCTGGCCACGCTGTTGCTCACTAGCAGAATTGGGAAGCACTAACTTTATATACAGTTGTAGCTCCAGGTCAGGAGCTGCCATGCCCTGCATTGCACCAAACATGGGTGCTGGTCCTTGCAGCTTGCAAGCCAGCCTTAAGCAGGAGCCATCAGAGAGGACTGCCATTTCTACCACCAACCATGTCCCCATGTCCAGTGCAGCTCTGTAGGTCCTCGTAGGTTCATGTGTATGTGACCCCAGTATGCGTCCGTACATCTCTTACAGTGGTAGTCGTATTATTGCACGTGGATCTATAGAATCACAGAATCATAGAATGGTTTGGGTTGGAAGGGACCTTTAAAGGTCATTTAGTCCAACCCCCCTGCAATGAGCCTGTGTGAACAGCTTTCTGCGTAGCTGGTGTGCTAAGTGCTGACAACTGTACCAACAAGATCAGGGTGGTTTTGCTGCTGAAAACAAAAAATGGAGCTGTCTAGTACAGTGAGGAAAGCCCAAATATTATTGATGTTGCCTTCTTTCACAGAAAGAGTGGGAAGGCAAATGCAACCACAAGGCTTGCCTGTAACATGGAAAACACGGCGTGACATTCACCAAGAATTTACATAGTGATCAATTTATGTACCACCTGTTTGTCTGATACTGTCACTATTTCCATTTACAGATAGATAGAAATAAATTTTGCCTACATTTTAATCCCTTTTGTTATCAGAAAGACTTTGAGGAAGCAAGTAGGAGATATTCTTGTAAAATAAATGATTAAGCAAAAAATAGGCCTTAGTTCCCCTGGAAGATGACCTAATCTTACCTAAATTCAGATGTGTAAAAACCAACCATCCTGTCAACAGAGAATCATAGAATATCCTGAATTGTATTGTTGTCAAGTCCAACAGCCAGACCATAGAGTGCTGGAATAGATTATCTGACCCAAAATAGACATTTGAATCCTCTGCCCTTTATAGCTGATTGGTGGAGTGCCTCTTCTCATGTTAGCAGAGAAAAAGAGGGAGGTCAAGTGAGCTGCTTCTTGATGTATAGGATAAAAAGGCACCAGGGGAGACTCAACCATATGAGGAGACCTGCAAGGTGGACACACAGGGTTGGGAGAGTCATCTCCCACATGTGACAGTGACGGTTTCCATAAACAAGTCTCAGACCTCATGGAGACCAGATAGGCTGCAGAACTGGGACTGGTGCTGGTGAAGCTTCCCCTCTTCAGAACCAGGTAAAGGTGATGGCAACATGAGCTTTTGCTGATAGCAGCAATGCAGAAGAGCTCTGTAACTCCAGGCCACGGGGGTTACCCCCTTCCTCCTGGGTGCCGCCATCCCTTGGTGGGCTGACCCCATGGGGCAGACAGGTGGTGGATGGGCAAGGATGGGCAGCTGGTAATGAGCTATGGAAAGAGCTATGGCAGAAAGCATGTTGTGAAGGAGGGTTTGGAGTGTGTTATGGTCAACTGAGAGGAAGGGGAGGGAAGGAACGTAAGTGCCCTACCCAGGAATAAGGTGTGTCAGCACTTATAGGTTAGAAGGCTCGACTATATTTTTTGAATTGCCTATTCTAACCAGTGAGGACATTTATAATCATCATGCAATAAATGTGTTTATTACTAATCTTTCACATCTAAAATTCCTGTAGAATATTAAAAAAAAAAAAAAGATGTATGTTATTTGGGCAGTGTGAATGGTCAGGTGCAGAGGAGGGCAGCTATACACAAGCACCTCCGCCCCATCAGACAGCATCAAAACCCTCCAGCCTTGGTGTGGTACAAAGGCAGGCAGCTTTCTGCATCTGCTTTTGTGAACAGCTCTGCAAACTCTCTTCTCACATAGCAAGGAGTCTCATTCCCTCCCGAAGGAGTCATAAAATACAGCTTTATCCATCCTGCACGTGGCAATCAGACAGGCTTAAGAGCTTAAGCACTTGTAGAGTAGCAATGTTTAAAAAGATGCACCGACCTGTTTGCCTACCTCATTCCGCATTGCTACTCAAACCACTCCTCAGTAAGGACTTTTGGGGCACGTTGTTAATGATGAAGGCAGAACACCGAACTTGCTGATAGAAAGGGAGTTGTTAAGCTCAGGTTCTTTCCAGGAGGCTGTGCCCAGGGCAATTAGCACCTCGCAAAAGAGCCCAGAACTCCCCTTGCTTTACTCACCAGTCAGCTGCTGAGCCACTAAGCGTGTGGATCATGCACCAGCCAAAGAAGATGGCAGTAAACAGATTTAGTCAGTTTAGGCTGTTTTATTAAACACAGACAATCAAAACAAACCCAGCCCTACCAGCAATACACCAGCTCCTCATTTATGCAAGACTCCTTTCCCCAGCACTGGGAGAACAAAAAGGCTGAAGTGTAAATGAGATCAGTGTGGTGAGTGTTACACATATGAATATTTATCAAGGAAGACCGGAGAGGGGCCAATTCGCCGACCTCCTGCAACAACAGGAGCTCTGTCATCGACAAGTGGGAGGGAAAGGGTAGGTGAAGAGGCTGGTCCATGCCTTTGTGCGGGCAGGGGTACACGAGATGCTGGCGAAGGTCTAAGCTTGTGTGTGAGGATAACTGTAGGAGCCATTGGTCAGGAAAGACACTGAGAGGATCCTGGGTTTTGGGACAAAAGCTCAGTACAACAAAGATATGAAGCAAGCATACAATGTCCCTTCCAGTCATGCAATCAGCTCGCAAGCTGCACTGTAGGGAACAAAACTCTAAAAATTAACACGAAGTTGTTACCATTCCTTAGGCATACCAAGTGTTCATAATAAATCTTTTTCCTGAAGAAAAAAGCAATGTTAAATCGAACTACAAAGACCATCAAGCATGAGATTTACAGCAATCTAACTGGGTTATGGGTTCATTTCTTAAACAGTTGAATTAGGGCAGCTTCTGGGTATGGATATATCAAGTGTGCTGACCCCCTCAGTGCTGCAGGGACTTAGGGTATGAGCAGCAATGGAGAGATCGCGCTGGTTATCGTTTTAATGTGTATTTCAAAGTCACTTCCAAAAAAGAAGATGAGATAGTAGTTGAGTATTCCAGCCACAGACATGAGAAACAGGAACAAGATGATGCGCTTTCCAAACAAGTAACCGGGAGTGCTGAGGAAACAAAAATGGGGTAAAGCAATTCGTTAAAGTGCGTCATCTCACATGACAACTCTCTGACTTTGGACTCTGCTGTTGGGACCAGCTGAAAGACCGCAGAGGCTGAGACAGAGGGGTCAAATTTCTGTTCTGTCTTGCAAAAATATCATTTTCAGGATCCATTTGGGTCTGGATTTGGCCTCCTGTTCTCAGCGTAGGCTGCTGCTTACAAAAGTCTCTATTCAGAGAGACTTGGATGTATTCTCAGGCATCAAAGGCTGTGGGACAACTTTATTCCACATGTGCATAATAGGTTTTATTAATATAAAATGACAATTTTGTGGAAATAGTGGCACAAACATGCAAATGTATGTTTGCAGAGGCTGTGAGCAGAAGCTACAGCCCCCCTGATCCTAGTGTGATTGCATCTCCAATGTCTTCCACAGCTACTCCTATTCATCCAAAAAAGAGGGGCTTTCCTGTGCTACCCAATGCCAGCAGCTGTTGTAGGCAGCACCACAAGTCAGCAGCTGTGTCTGTGGAAGTGGCAGTATCCAGCTGTGCTGCTGCCACATTCTGGGTTTTGTAAAATGGCTCCACAAGTCCTTACCTCTGAGTCCTCTCCCCGAGGTAGCCCACAAAGTACTTCTGCCTCACAAACAAGTACATCAGGCCAGCAAAGGCAGCAGGAGCTGGGTAAAGGGTAAAACAAGGCGTTACAAACACCGGCTCAGATCTCACTGTATCTACTGTTCTCATCTGCTGCCTGGGCTGGACTGGGAAATGGGAATCTGCAGTCTTGAGTTGTGGGACAAGCATTGGAACTGGGTTGGAGACCTCTGCATGGGAAACAGAGCACTTGTCTTGCCCTTGCTCCAGCTTTTCTGAAGATTTTGTGGGTGTCATCCTGCCCACAACTGTGCCCACTGTAGACCACACACTTATCACCTTGATTCCAGTACCTAAAAAGAGCCTACAAGAAATCTGGAGAGTGACTTTTTACAAGGGCATGAAGTGATAGGACAAGGGGGAACGGTGTTAATCTGAAAGAAGGCAGGTTTAGATTATATATAAGGAAGAAGTTCTTCACTATGAGTGTGATGAGGCACTGGCACAGGTTTCTCAGAGAGGTTGTGGATGCCTCATCCTTGGAAGTGTTCAAGGCCAGGCTGGATAGGGCTTTGAGCAACCTGGTCTAGTGGAATGTGTCCCTACCCCTGGCAAGGGAGCTGGAACGAGATGATCTTTAAGATCTTTTCCAACTCAAACTATTCAATGATTCTGTGAAACGCAGTGTGGGTTACACCAGGCTCAGGAAAGAGGGTGCCAACTCAGGCGCTATCCTCACCAGAAATAAAAGGCAACTGATAGATGCATTTCACTAGGAGCAGGTGGAGGACTATTCTATGGCCCAATACTCATTTCTGAGCTCATAAAAAGGGCTTTCCCCATAATTCTACCTTTCTCCACAACTGCAGGTAAAAGCCCCTCTTCTCCTGGCCAGGAAACCTTTTTCTTTTCCAGAAAGAATAGTCATGGACCCCAGACAAGTACTCAGCCTTAGGTAAAATCACATTATATTGAAGGGAACCATATTTAGAAATGCAGGCAAAGATTCCTGAGCTGCCCTCAGCAGTGAGGAGGGCTGGCAGTTCTGGCAATTTAATGAAATGAGCCCATTTCGAGTCCCAAAAGTGAATATTGTGGCATCCAGCAACCAAGTACTAAATCCTTTGTCCCAAACAAAGGGAACTCATCCATAATGCTGGTGGGGGAAGTGTCCCTGGCCTGGAATACCTTGAATCACATCTGAGAACACAAATCTCTTGGCATAAGCCATGCCATGAGTGTGCTGCTACTCAAACAGCAGGACAGGAGGGTGAGACATGTTCCCCTGCTACTGGAGGGTTGGTCCCTGGAAGTGTAACTTCTGAAGCACTTCACTATCTCTTCTTGAAAGCAGTGCAAGGTTGAAAGGACATACAAAATAGCCCTCAGTGTTACCTTGGCTGCAGAGAAGGCCAGCACACCAAAGCACAGCGAGAAACGTAGGGTACGCATGTCCGCAGTTCTGGCTAGAATGGAATTTATAGGAAAGGAATCAGAACAGGGAAACAGAAACAAAATCAATGTGTTTCACGAGCAGAGAATGGCGTGGTATGAATTTGGGCTGCACTAATGCCATTGGGGGCAGTCTTTTACCCCAGAGCAGTGGGATGCCCCTGACCTACCAGGAGCTGGCTGGTGTATTTGTGTCTGAATGTGGTGGCTTCCCTGTTTCCTCTCATAGATAATGGATGCCTTTGTCCTGCCTGATGATGAAAACAAACCATCTCATGCACATGTCTGGCACCTATGAAAGCCACTTTCTCTCTAAGCTGTTTGGTCATAGCATATGTATAAGAAATGTTGTGTGCTTTATTGGCTTAAAATCCTTGTCATTGAGTCATATTAGTCAAGCTACTGAATGAAACCTACAAAAATAGAATTGCACCACAGATAAGAGTGTCCCACAGACTTAACACATGTCTTTGCAGGGGAACAGGAATACTTTTCAGCTGCCTCCTTCAGCTGGGAATGCTTTCTGAGCAGGAAGCACTCTGCCCTTGACAGAGGTTGCACACCTGTGAAGGGCAGCACTTGGACATCTCATCCAATTTCAAGCTTGTTGACAGTACTTCAGAGGTAATAAAAAATATTTTATGTTCTTTTCTGATTTAGAATTAATTTTTCCTCTGGACTCTCTGAAGAGATCTCAAAGACAAGAGGTGTGAAGGTATACTAGAATGGGTTGACCAAGGAGGTGATAGATGCCCCATCCTTGGAAACATTCAGAAACATTCAAGTTCAGGTGGGACAGAACTCTAAACAACCATCAGTTGAAGATATTCCTGCTTATTGAAGGGTTGGACTAGATGAGCTTTAAATGTCCCTTCCAACCCAAAGTATTCTATGATTCTATGTGGTAGAGAAGTGGAGAAGTGGAGATCTGTGTGCCAAGGGAAGTGCCAGGAACCAAAAGGTTTATACAAGCTTTGCCACCTACCTGCTCCTCAGCAAGCTGGTGTCTCTCTGTTGGCTCTTTCCTTTTGAACCACAGTGCCCTTGGGACTCTGGCTGTGCTTGTCACACTTCCAGCACAGAAGGGTGAACTGGTTCCCAAATGAAGGGGCATGGTACTCGTAATGGCTGCAAGACCTATATAGATGCAGCACATGGAGTCCAGAAGGGTGCTGGGTTCACCCAGCAAACATATTGGAGAACCACGAGTCTGAACACTGTCACAACATGCACAGCAAAGGATTATGTACAAAGCCTTCACCTGAGGGCATTTGAAACCCATCTCTGCCCGCCCCCCCCCACTCTGCCCTCATTGCTCCTCGGGTTTTGTCTACTCACTTGGCAGTGTAGACGCGGTCGAAGCAGGATGATCCCTGCCGCTGGAACCCCTTGCTGTTGCAGTGTTTGCTTTCATGCTCCAGTTTGTAAGCAAAAAAAGCTGTTAAAAAACCACAAAGTATTCAATCAGATATAATTTGGAGGTACTGTAGAAGCTGGGATTTGTGGGCTTATCTCTGTTCTCATGAGCATCCAGGCTGGATAGACGGCAGAAGAAAACACGGGTGCATGGAGGGGTGAGATGTGGCCAGCAAGCTTGCTCTGTCACCCAGAGGTTAATCAAACCCACTGTGCAAGAGTGCCGTGCAACGCAACTTCAGGCATCTCCACATGCCCATATGTGACTGGTAGTAGGCTCTCTCACCTTTGTGCCCTGCTTCATTCCCACATTGCACTTCCAGCAGCCTGCACCTCTTCTGCAGGAGCACTGCCCTGACCTGGTCCTTTGAGCCCCCAGTGGGAAAAGAGCTTTCCAGTCAGAGCTGCCAGCACCAAATCTTCCTTTCCAACAGAGCAGGGAGACAAGCAAGTCTATTTTCTTTTAGTGAAACCCATCTGCCAAACCACGGGTATCCTGCAGGGCTGGTTCTTTTCCCAGAAAAGCCCATTGAAAACCTCGTCCTGATAGCTGATCTGTATATGTCCATCTTGTGTGCATCCTCCTTTTAAGCAACAGCATTTTGACAGAGTGTTAGCTGCTGCACAAATGCAGCGCCTCAGGATAATGTATCCTGTGCTTGACAAACACGTTTTATCTGATGACACCAAACCAGAGATCGTCAATCATGTGTCTAAATACACCAGAGAAACCCTGGCAGGCTACAAGCTGCAAACATTGTGTTATCCTGCACTCCATCTCAGTGCATCCAAATCACTCTATGGCTTAGAATATTAGTCAAATATACACATAAAAGATAACCCATCAGGAATACATTATTATAACAATAGAAGTGTAAATAGATAAACTGCAGGGTTTCATCCCTGCAATCTGAAGAGCTGCCCCTTTTTTCCCCCCTCACTGGTGCTGTAAATAGGTCTTTTGTACTTCCATTTTCTTCACTAAAAGCTACTGAGTTTTTCACTTTCCAATATTGTGTGATTCCCTGGGTACATACAGCCCTTCCCCAGAAAAACCCACAGTGCTTTAAACCAGCATCCCTACACTGAGCCAGGCTGCAGACCCCACTGCCTCCAGCATGGTGCACTGGCCACTCCTGGAGGACCCAGGACAGATACCATCCGGTGTCACAGCCACCAAGAGTTCCCAGCACCTCCATCCACCCACCAGCCCAGCCTTTGGCAAGAAGCTATTAACCTGCCTACAGTGACTAAGAGGACCTAAAATTGAAGAGGACTAAGTTGATCAGCATTTTTTTGTCCAGAGCAGAGCTGCAGCGATGGGAAACTACTTTTTGCAGGTCTGGGACTGTATGGGCTCACTTGTAGCACACATCCTCCTTTCCTTTTATCATGTGCATGAAATCACTAGAAGATACCACAGCTTCCAAACAAGCCAAATAAGCTATTTATCTCTCTCTCCTCTGCTGTAGGTGCTGCCACTTCCCAAATGTCAGCATGCTGCCACAGAGAGGCTTCACGATGCCCAGAGGTAACAGGGTGGTTTCACAAGCCAGCATGAGATGAGTGAACGGAGCAAAACCGGAACAGAGAGGTTTAATTCAGCTTAGCTGTTCCAGGAGATGATGCCCTTAGGCTCCAGGGCTGCACAGACTGTCCAGAGCCTGAACTGTGGCAGTCCCACTCTGGTCAGTTTAATGTGCAAGAGTTCAGTGTAAGCCTGGTTGTCCGTGCCAACAGAAACCATGAGCTGAAGATCCAACCTAGCCAGTGCTGGCAAAAGTGCCCCTTCTTTCTCTCAACTTCACTTTGCTTCCTCTGTCCCAAACTCCTCAGCAATGACCACTGATTTTTATCCTGAAAGTTGCTGGATTGCAACATCTCTCTGACAAAAGGACAAAACTTAGAGCTGCATGTGTGACTCAGTGGTATCTGGCCACACGAGTCATTCTGTAGTATATGGAGATTTCCAGCACGAACATCACGTAAACGTAAATGGACATCGGACAGGGGCAGAACCACCTCCATCTTTAGGAATAACAGCATTCACTGAAGATGTTCTCTAATCCTGCACCAGATGCAGAAAAGCATATAATCACAAATTTATGTGATACTGACTTCGTGTACTTAGAGACAGTCAAGTGGATGCCCAGGTGCTTTGCTGAATGAGAGCCACAACAGGAGCTCAGTATAACCGACAGGCCTTGACAAACATTTCTACTGCCTTAATTATTGTGTTCCTTGCAAGACTTCATATCAGGTCTGGTCTTTCTAGACAGAAAGCCTGGGAAGAGGAAATCAGATGATGTAAGGCCTGAAATCATGGTTTAGGGCTGTCTGACTCACATGCTTGGCACACTGAGTCTTCTGCCAAGTGTCCTTCTTCCCCTTTGTAGCAGTTGGGTCAACAATCTCACACACAGATTTCCATGAGATAAAAGTGCATGTCAGAATGGAAAGCTGACAAGTTTCAAGTGAGAAGAAAAAGCCCTATATACAAAGTCATGTGATTAAACAGCAAGAAGTGTATATTTGACACATTTTCTTAATTATAGTATGTGTTCTGATCTCAGCATGCCATATTCTGGTGATGTCACACACTGTGCATTTACCCGAAAACAACATTGGGTTAAATGATGTGGTATTTAGTGCCTATGTTGAAACTAAACCAGTCTGCATCTCCTTTTTTTTTTTTTTTTTTTTGTTCTCTAGCAGCTGGGCTCCCACCACTTCCCCTCTCTGCAGCAGCCCAAGAATAGCCCATTTCCTAGGACTGAATGTGGGACCGAATGTGGAGTTTGTGCTCAGTGGGAATCTCCCACTCATAACAAGAAGCCTTCACTAAAGATTTCTGGAATTTGCATCAGCCCCCCCATCCCACTGCTGACTCTCCTTGAATTTGGGCAAACTCAGTGCAGCTGGGACAAAACTCATTCCTTTCTTTGTATTCTGGCCAGAATTTCCTGCTAAAATGATTAAGTATTTGTAGAAGATGATGATCACATTAAAATCAAATTTGCACAGGAGAGAAACTTGATTTATTTAAAAAATCCCAAAGAATAGTAGTGATTATAGGAAGTCTGAATAAGTGCTAGAAAAGGAAACTTCACCATCACAGGAAATGTGCAGTGTTCTTGGGAGGACAGTTAATTGATATTACTTATACTGTAGGACTTGGAGATGCAGGAAAGCAGGAGAGCTATCTGCCCACAAATAACCCACACAGACTCCTCTGATGAGGCAGTGAAGTTCTCTCCCCTTCACCCAGCTCCATGCAAAGGTCTGACCCATTGCACCCCCCTGGGGACTCAGTCCCTGCCCACGGCAGCAGCTGCATGACAGTAGCCCTGGCTGACCACAGTAGAGACCTAGGCCAGGAAAAGAGGTCTCAGTCACCAATTCAAAATGCATATTGCCACAGGGTATCCTAGCATATTAGTCCTTTCACTAGCTGATATATGTATAACAAACTCACTCTAGAATATCACAGAGTAGGATCATGCAACTGCCAGGATACTGCCACAATGGCATGAAAAATGCTATGCTTCGAAGACCATTTCTGAAGCCAAAGCCATGCCTAAGCACTAATCATACATGCACTTATAAGCAGAGTTTATCTATCCAAAGATCAGCTCGGTATACATCATCCGGAACTTTCCTCAGCTCCCTTTCAGACCTTAAATAAATGCTTATTTTTGTCTTACCGTTCTGGACAACACTTAGCAAGGTAACAATGGCAAGCAGGACAATGCTTCCCAGGGTCTCCTGGTCCATTTTGTGAGTGGGATGTCAGGGTGGATGGTGCAGCCTCGGTGGTAGCTCAGCTCTACAAGCACAGAAGGAGGAAGTGAAGGTCTTATCTTGAATCATGAAACACTTCCTATGGCTTCACAGGAGAGTGGCAGCACCCTGAGCTCTGGTGCACGTCAGACCAACAAGTGCAGGCTCGCTCGCTCATCGTATACAAATGAAGCCCAGAGAAACAAGAGATTATATGTCTGTGATCTAAGAAGATATACAATGTGGAAAAGTATCTATTGCCCTTCCTACACAAGAGCAAAATAGCAACCTTGATATCTGAAATATGTTTGAACATTTGGCTACCTGTGTGGAACAGCAGAAGGTTGGAATAAACCAGCCAGGCTATCACAGCATGGTGAGCAAGAGTCTGACCACCCCATGAATAGCTGGGAGGAGAAATAATGTAGGTGAGTCTCAGTAACACTGTTGCTCTCAGGGAGGTGCCCTCCCTGGTTACATCTCCATCAGCCTCACCAGTGAGGAGACTCCAGTTCTCCAAGTCACAAGCAAAAGCTCCTGATCCACCTGGCATATTAGATGGCAGTACATTAATGTTGTGAGCATTGCAGGTGAGCACAAAAATACATCTTTCATCACCAGGCGTGGATCCAATGTCCTTCCCTCTACAAATAACTCCCTGGAAGTCAGTGACAGCTACGAGCACTTGGTATTTTACAGGCCCAGACTTCACAGTTGTACCCCAGTTTTAGTACTTGAAGCCCAATATGACTGAATACAATTGCTGCAGCGTGTTCACGGCTTGACTCTGACCCCCTGATGAAGATGGTAGAGAAGCACAGACTGTGGTGTTGAAAGTGTGGTGGGTTAACCTTGGCTGAACACTGGGTGCCCACCAAAGTCACTCTATCTCTCCTCTCCTCAGTGGGGCAGGGGAGAGAAAATATAACAAAAAGCTCATGGGTTGAAATAAGAACAGGGAGAGATCATTCCCCTGTTACTGTCATGGGCAAAACAGACTCAACTTGGGGAAATTTATTGAATTTATTCCCAATGAAATAAGAGTAGGATAATGAGAAGTAAAACTATATCTTTGAATGCCTTCACTCCCACCTGCCTTCTCCCCATGTTTAACTTAATGTGCAATTTCTCTCCCTCCTTCCCCAGCAGCACAGGTAAATGAGGAACAGGGCTCACAGTCAGCTCATCACACATTGTCTCTGCCACACCTTCCTCTTCAGAGGCAAGACTCCTCACACTCTTCCACTGCTCCAGCATGTGGTCCCCCCCACAGGAGACAGTCCTCCATGAACTAATCTAACAAGAATCCTTTCCAGGGGCTGCAGTTCTTCATGAACTTCTCCAGCATGGGTCTCCCATGGGGTCACAGCAAACCTGCCAGCAAACCTGCTCCATTGTGGGCTCCTCTCTCCACAGGGCCACAGGTCCTGCCAGGATCCTGCTTCAGTTCGGGCTTCCCATGGAGTCACAGCCTCCTTTGGGCATCCACCTGCTCTGGCACCTTGAGCATCTCCTCCCACTCCTTCTCCACTGACCTTGGTGTCTGCAGAGCTGTTGCTCTCACATAGTCTCGCTCCTCCCTCCAGCTGCAATTTTCTTCTGTGCAATGACTTTTCCCCTTCTTAAATCTTATCCCAGAGGTGCTACCATTATTGCTGATGGACTTGGCTTTGACCAGTGGTGAGTCTGCTTGGAGCCAACTGGCATTAGCTCTGTTGGACATAGGGGAAGCTTCTGACAGATTCTCACAGAAGCCACCCCTGTAGCCCTCCACTACCAACACCTTGCCAAGCAAACTAAATACAGTCAGCTGCAGAAAGTTCCACAGTTTCTGTCAGAATACTGGAAAGCATCCTCATCCAAAACGCACATCACTTGATGACCCTAACTACTCTGTTCCCTTTTGCCCATATTCTGATTGAGAAGAGTCTCATGAAAAAATGCTTACCTTTAGTAGGAATTTAACACTAATAAAAAGTAATATTTCCACTGGACTTAGCCCTGTACAACTTTTGCCCCATCTCTCTGTCTGTCTCTACTCCACCCTGTGCTACTCAAGAGGTCTGAGTGCTGCCTAGTATCCGCAGACAGCTGGTTACCTCTCTTTGGATGGGACACAGCCAGGTAGGAGTTCCCAGCAGGAGCCAAGCTGCAAAATCCATCTTGTTCAATGGGGATACATTTACTTACAATGGTGCTTTTATCCAGTCTCTGTATCATGTAAATTTATAATCTGTACTATTAGATATGGAAAACTCTCAGGTACTTTGAGTACAAGCAAATACACAGAAATTAACTGGTTGGCAGGTAGGTGATTAACACTGTGATCTGTGACCTACTGTTATCCTAATAGGAAAAGGCTGTCTTTTTGGGACACCTTCCCTACAGTCTACACAGACATGACTGTGTGAGAAGCAAGGCCATAATGATAATCTATGTTTAGATTTGGCCTGTGATATTTTCTTCAGATTTTTAACTCTTGGCAAATTTACTTTAGGAAAAAACCCAAATCCAAGAACAAAAAAAGAAATACAATAGGTCTTTGAGAATGCTTTTATTCAGGATGAAGTTCTCTTTTCCCCCAGAAAATTATCTTTTCTTATTGAACATCAAAGTTTATATTTGTGGTCTACTGAGCACTGGATTGTAGCTGGTATTTAGGGATGATATTTAATGCTAAGCATCTACTAATTTTCTGAGAAGAAAAACCCATCAACTAAAAGAGTTTATGGAATTAAGTCAAAGAGGAATATTGTCTAAGCAGAGATCAATGTTATGACTGTAAAGAAAGGAGCGGGGTGGGGGGAAGGTGTCATGGTGGGAGGAGGGAGCTGCAAACAGAAGAGGGTGAAGGGCATAGCACAGGTCCTCAGGGCATCTGTGACAGGACATCTCCCAGTCATCCTTCCACAGCAGGCACTGAGCTTTCCCTTTCTTCTGCCTGTTTTAATGCTGGTGCAAACCTACCAGGCATCTTGCAGCTTGCTTTTGATTTACAAGTGGTAGTACAAGCACAGGAGCCTGCTCCAACTTGCCAAGAAAACACACACGCTTCCCCACTATCAAAGACTTCCCAAAGGTGGCTTCTATTCAGCAGAAGTGTCATGTAAAAGGGGGTAGGAATCATGCTGCTGAGCTTTGAAGTTGCCATAATGCCAAAAAACACACAACATATCATGTATTTATGCCAGCAGCCTTTCCAGCTGGCTGACCCAAATTCCCAGCCCTCACCCTGTGGGATGGCCAGGTAGCAAGAGCTGAGCTGTCCACTGGCACCTCTTGGCATCACAGGATGCTTTGGCATTTTGGCGCTTGGCATTCATGGCACTTTGCTGGAAATGCAGCCTGTTACCTCCTCTCGCCAAGGTGTGCTCCAAAGCCATCCCGTGTGTATGCATGGAGGAAAACAGGATTTCACAGTCCTTCCTGCAATAAGAAAACCTATGACATCAATTCCAGGGCTTGCTAAGGTGATTTCTATGTGTGCAGGGAAAAAAAATCTTTGCCAACAAGAAAGTGTTTGGTATGGCTGCCTTAAAATATGAACTGCAAGGGTTTGGTTTTGTTGGGTTTTTTGTTTTTTTGGTTATTTTTAAAGAGCAACACCACTCTGAGGGCTCTGCTTGAGGAAAAGCTAAGGAAATCAAGATGGTATGAGAGATGTCAAAGAAGTCCTGTCCCTTTACCATGTCAAGTCTATTGTATAGTCAGGCAGAGCAGAAACCCCTTGTGGGGAGGAATTTTACTTTTTCATACCCCTTAGCACTGGAATAGCTGCAGGATAGAAGGAGATTCTGGCAACTTTATTCCAATTTGGGGAATTGCCTTGGCAAGGGAGAGCTAAGATGGGGCTAAAATGACTCTGCAAACAGCTTCTGCACGTTAAATTGTTCCTTCTCCCTGAGACCTTAATATACACACAGGATCACTGTCTGGTTCAAGCAAAGCTGACACCACTGAAAACCCTGTCCAGCTGGGAAAAAGATCAGTGCAAACCCCTCCATCTTATTTCAGTTGGCCATTTGAAATAGGGGATTTTCTCAAGTAGGCAAAAATAAAAACGGGGGAGGGGGGAGGGATACGCACCTTGGGGAACAGTACCTGCACCCTCTATATCCCCCAGCTGTGGGCAGACCTCTTCAGGCACAGGTAATTCTGTGCTTCAGCAGCTGCTGTCAGACCCCAGCCCTTTTGCTTGCTGCATTGCTGTTTGACATCCACATCGTCCTGTCTGAGGAAGATAACCTTGACACAGCAAGCCATGAAGCTCACGAAAATGTGCAAAGCCAGCGAGCTTTTCCAGTTGCGCTGTGAGGCTTCCAGCACATTAATCTCCTCCTCTGAAACCTTGAACAGCCAGTCAAAATAATCCTTTTGTAGAATTGCTTTCATAGTGAAGAGGAAAGGACTGGGAACACAGATCTATAAATATCTTTTGGGTTGTTCATCTCTCCTCTCCTCTCATGCACTCTGATCAGCACTCAGCTGCAAGGACTCTAATGAAAGTGTTTCTCTGGACAAAATAAAACTGCTCATATGAAACTCCTCTGTATAAATGCCAGGTGATACACAGCCATCATGCTTTATCATAAATGCAACAGGACACAAAGCCCCTCAGACTGGCTGGTTAATATTAGTACTGTGCTTTGCAAACTTAAAGTTTGCACCACAGCACCATCAAATATAGTACATACACACACGTGACCTGCTGTCACTTAGTCTTCTTCAGCATCACATCCTTGCTGAAGCCTGACAAAACTCCAACGGAGCGCATGAACAGAGCTGGAAATGTGAAGTGCAACATGAAGAAAGGGTAATGCTGCAGTTTTTAAAATGCTGTCTTCATTGTGCACAGCTGAGAAAACGACAGTGTGGGAGCAGCCAGAGCACCACCTTGGAAACCCCTCCTTCTCTATATTTTCCAGGCTTTTTCCTTTCACTTGCTGTCTTCATACTCAATTTGTACAAATTCAGCTCAAAACACAGAGCTGGAAGACAGAGCCTGTAGTCCCTCTGGGCCCTCTGGCACAGCCTCCTCCTCCTCACCCTCTGTGTC